TTTATTTTTAAAGACTTTTAACATGTACTCTAAAGAAACAAATTAAAATAACTCTTTATTTATTAATTTTTTAACAACCTAGTGAGACCAATTCCTTTAATTTTTTTTTTTTTTAGTTTTGCATTATTCTTTTTGGTTTTAGCACCTAAACTAATAGAATTTGTTAACTTTTAGTTAAAATGAGAATAAATTAATTATAGGATTAATTCTTAAAAACTAAAAATATAACAATTTAGTTTTAAAAGTTAAAAAATTATAAAAATTAGTACACTAAAAGGAATTAATAAATGACATTTTCACATATATTAAAATAGATATTCATAATCAAATCAAGTGATTAGTTCAATTTGGGAAAAGAATTTTGACTGAAATTAAAGCAAATTTATTAACTGAATTTAAAGCAAATTTATTAACTGAATTAAGATTGAAAATTCAAGATACTAGAAAAATTTATAGAAAAGGTTTGGAGGTATTAAAAGATAAGTTATTGAATTTTATAATAAATTTTTTAAAAATTTTATAGAATTATTAATTTGTTTTGTATTTAGTAAGATATTAATGTAAAAAAAGTTAGTTAAAAAAAGTTATTAAGTAAGTTTAATATAAAAAAGTTATCCAAAAATATTTTTTTGAGAATTATAATAAGAAAATTAAATATTTAAAATGTTATTTTTATCCTTTTTCTTATAGTATTAATATATAAAAACATTTAAATAATTTTGTAAGGGGGAATGTTTAGATAATTCGAGGGAGAAAGTTGCTCCAAACCAAACACCCCCTATTGTTAATATTTGTGGCTCTCTAAAATTTTCTCCTTTTCTCTTTATCGGAAAATATAAAATTCATGTAAAAAAATAATAAAATTCAATAATACTATATACGATTATAAGCTTATAATAATAACGCATTATTAAATCAAAAAAATGGCACCTAGGTCTTGTAACCTGATGGTTACATGCCATATCGTAAGGTGCACCTTTAATCTCAAAATTAGAGTTTGAACCTCTCTCATCTAAAATTGTAATCTGTTAAAAAAAAAAAAGAAAATGTATATTTAATTTAACTATATATATTTTTAGTTTGATCCTACTAAGATACTTATGTAGATACTTGATTATTAGTCTTTTAAACACTTTAATTTGATTAGTCTAGAGTGTGATTATAATTTAAATTACAAGTTATGCTTCTTTGTTATTATGTAATGTCTGAATGGGCAAATTATGGATACATTATAATCATTACATTATTAATAAATCATTGCTCTTATAAAAAAA